AGCATAACTTTCAAATTTAAAAAATCTATGAAAAGAAAATTTGAGACAAATTTTTTTTTTAGATTAATAGACTCCCCCTTTAAAGCTGATAAGTTTTTTAAAATCCAATGTGTGGATCACATAATATTTCAAAAGTTTTAACTTTTAAGTATAGATGATCCGCACTGTAGCATCATCAGACTCCAATATTTTTAATTTTTTCATAAGAGGATTGAAAAAAATGGCTAATTTATATAATTCATTAAATTCGGGTCATAATTGTTATAAATTACAACCTGAATCCGACCTGAAGTTATTTGATGTTAAGACCAACCTGCCCAACCTGATGCATGCCTCTAATAGCTATCCCTTAAATGAGATACTTGAATCAGGGATGATTATTTTTGCTTCTTTTAAGATTAATATTTTTCCAAAGATGAAATTCTATATATTAGCATTATTATTATTAGACATTTTAGAGATTACTGCCAATCTGAGAAAAACTTCAAAATCCCAAAACAGGGAATTGTAATTGCAGACAATTTTGCCTTTTAATATGAAATGTGTCATTACAATATTGATTTGCAGACAGGGAATCGAGTGTCATCCATATATAATATTAAGGATCTTTATGCCCAAAAATTTTATCATAAATAGATATGAGCAAAAATGTTAACTTTATCACCATCTCCCATATTCAATGATTGATTTGTCAAGGTGATGGTTACTGTGCATTATTTTAAATTTTTTAGATGAATTTCAAAAAATATTATTATGATGAATCATTGTTACATTAACTAATGATGAGTAATTTATATTATATAATAAATTTTTTAGGGTGTGTTTTCAAAATTCTGATTATAACTTTTTGGGGTTGAAATCTTTTTTTTTAATTTTTTTTGTCAACAAACCAATCAGATGATGATGAAATGTTATGTTTTGCAAAGATTTATTTGTTATCCACAATCCACATAGAGTTGGGATCCACCATAAACTTATATAAATATTGTAATAATCAGAAAAATCTGTCAGAAAAATTTCCCAATGAAGGCTTCCTGGAGATAAGTGACCAATAGGCTGGTACCATGATAGAATCCTTACAATTAACATAAACAGCATCAATGAATAGAAACAACAGTTGATTTCTCAAAGACATTCATATAAATAACCTTTACAACCAATATTTCAATACAAGAAATCTCTTGCCTTTTGCCTGTATCTTAATACAACAATGGAATTAATGGTGAGAAACAACTATAACAAAATCTTGAGACATTTGGCATCCTAGTTGATAGTAAGTAACATTTATTGAATGTTTGTAGTTACTGGGTTACTGGACTGTTTTTTCTAATTTGTGCTTTTTTAAGGGCAAGATTTCATTTCTGTTAAGATTTCTGCTTTCTCAAAACCCACTAATAAAGAGGATTATTGTAATAGAAGTAAAAAAGCAGACATCCAACAAGGAATATCACAAAACCTTGCACAGATTCACAGTGCAGTGTGGGTATGTGTAAATTTTTTAACATTTACACTATCTCTTTAACACACATATTAAAAAAAATTTTTTTGTCTTGTCTTTAGAGAAATGAAAAATGCATTACTCACCAAATAAAACCAGATATCAAAGTACATGATATTGTATCAACAGTAAAGACTAGTGCCATAACTCAAAAAAGGAAAAAGTGTGGTTGCAAAAGTGGTCACAAAGGTAAACTCTTGATTTGGTATCATACATATATGATTTGTACACATAGTTATAATAAGTTCTTATATGCTTCATGGTTCTAGAGAGAAGAAGAGATTACCTCGAAGATTTCATCTCCATTAAAGAAAGTTGAAAAAATTCTTAATAAATATCAGGAAGCTTTGAAGAAAGCGACGGATGAAGGATATGTTGAACTTGATTCTGTATTTATTAATTATAATTATCAAGATGGATATAAATTTCAAAGAAACTGGTTAGAAAACTGGGTGGATAACATATATAAGAAATTGTAAGTGTCTTTTATTTATTATTTTTTTTAACTCCTGTTTATAGTTTTATTGACCTTTGGCATTGGTAGTTTAACATGCTTCCAGATTTCAAGACATGTATTGAATCATCAGGAAACTTTTCCTGCTGTAATATTACATCCATAAGTTTTAATATGAAATGTTGTAATATTTCGCATAAAAAGGACGTAATATTTACACTGAATGTAATAATTGTGTAATTTTTGTGCAATTTTTGCATAATATTACACTATTTATGTAAGTTTATGGCGGGCCCCATAATATTACATAAATTTACGTCAGAAAAAATTTCCTGATGATGATGAAACGAGTAGTGAATATCAATATCGAAGCTGGTTTGTAAATTTATTGTGTGAGGATCTTTTTCTGGATATTAATTCTGTTATTCGGTTAACAATGTAAGTTATTATATTTTTCCTTACACTTAGAGTAGAACAAAGAATGCCCATGTTATTTACAACATATTAAAATTATATATTTTTAATAGTGGCGAAGTTGAGAATAAACACCACAAAAACCAAAAGGATTTATCAAAGCTTCCTGAAAATAGGCGACCAATAGGCTGGTATCATGATGGAATCCTTACAATTAACGTGAATGGTGTTGATGAATACATTGGCTTCCTTGAGGTTGTGGGAAATGCAATGATCGAGGATCATAAGAAAATGATGGGAGATAGAGATAAAATTTTAAAGGCAATGCGATTAGCATTATTTCAACTAGAACAAATAATGCGCAACAATGGAATTAATGACGAAAAGAAACTTCAGCAAAATCTTGAGATATTTGGCATCCTAGTTTATAGTAAGTAACATTTATTGCATGTTTATGGTTATTGAATTTTTTTCTCTAAACTGTGTGTTTTTTAGAGTGGGATTTCATTTTCTATGCGATGCATTACTATGATGGGACGTATCTGGTTGATGAAACTGATATATCATTTGTAATACCCAATACGCCGATGCAATTATACCTGTTGGAAGATATCATAAAAAAATTATTGGCATTTAGGGTTAGTAATACTTTGAAATATTATTTTTAACAGTCATTTATTAATTATGATTAGTTATGATCTCTCATGAACAGGCTTGTGTTCAACATCTGAACACACAAATAACAGAATTATTAAGAAATATGAAAATTCGATGTCATTCACAACGGACAACAACTGCTATTGATGTATCTCCGAGTTCAAACATCAATCCATGTCCAGTATACATCACCAAGTTGAAAACTTATAAAAATTCTGTTGAGTAATAGAAGAAATATGAAATTGTGATGTTGTAGTGCAATTGTCTTTTTTAATATTGTATAATGCCAACTTAACAAAATGACATTAAAGCTTGTTATATGATTTGTTACAAATGTATTAGCCATTTTGAATGCATATTTTCTTAGCAATATTAATGTGAACAGATCAAAATCAAAAATGTCTTATACCTGGTAATTTTTGTGTAGGGTTTTTGCAAGGAATCTTTAAGTATAGTAATCGTTGCAGCATTCCCATATAAAAATTTTTTGAATTAAATGTTTTTTATCATTAGAAAAAATAAATCAAATAGGTGACTAAAATGAAATTAGTTAGTTAACGTTAAGAATATATGTTCCAATGCAAGTGTTACCAGAATTAAACGATGACGAAGATAATTTGGCCGAACCCTTTAATTTCAGGTCAAATTAAATTTTATTTCTATTTTTATTTTTATTTTTATTTTTATTTTTATTATTATTATTTTTATTATCTATTCTTATTCTTATTTTTATTATTTTTATTTTATTAATTCTAATTATTTATTAATTAATAACGTGTATAATTATAGAGATGCGATCCGCGGATATCCGTCATCCATTCATCCGTCATTTATCTCAAAAAATCAATCCGTCATCCGTTAATTGCTCAAAAAATACATCCGTCAGATTCAAACGGATTATCCAGATCATCTGTGAAATTGAACGGATCATCCGCGGTTTGAACGGATAATTCAGTAATGCTAATAATTTATGACAATTCATTTATATTTATTATAAAG